TGAAAGAAGGGAGAGGTCTGACTAGAAATGAAAGTGAAGGGGTCGTCGAGCATCTGCTGGATGTTCAGTTACATTCCAGGAACAGACATTGGGTACACTGGGTGAGTGGATCAGTCTGTGTGTACGATGAAGAGAAAAACGCCACACAATAATTGGAACAGAGAAAGTTTAACACAAAGACGTATTAAGTATAACAGCGGATTGGAGTAATGAGGGATTGGCTAGTAAGAAAAAAAGAAAACTCTAAAGAATATGGGAATAACAGCTGTGAGGAACAGTTACTACCTCTAGGGCTGATAGTGGGCCCAAGAGGGCACAACTATGACTGAATGATACAAATCACTGTGCTGCTGTACTGGTGGAACTTGCTGTAAATCGACCCTCTGGAACTTGCCGGCAATATGCCCTGTAGGATAAAACTTGTTCCCTCTACAATCTTTCTCCAGCACCTCCTACTGAAAGAAGCTTAAACTGTGCTACTGGCAAAGGGAAAAATTAAGGGTCCATATCCATTTCCACAGAGCAGGCTAAAGGGTGAATGTGAAGTTGAAAGGGAGTACCAGTGTCAAAAGTTCAGAAAAAAGAAAAGTGAAACCGATGAATCAGTGAGGCAGTAATTGGTAGAAAATTTATTTTGCACACACCAAAAGAACAGTTTGCAAACCAGGCGCACTGAAACTAAAACATGGAATGAGACTCAGAAGTATATTGTTACAAAGCAGCTTATATAGTGTGGACGCAGTGATTTTCTTCACAGTGATTGGTTATAATATTAGAATTTTCTTAAATGAAAGGGAATTGGTTAGTGGTCACCTCATCAGTTTTGGGGAATAACTTAAGTTTCACCTGTGATTTTCAGAGGCATAAGCAAGAAGTGACCCAGGTTAAGTTAGCCTCACTTACTTTGCAAAATAAACTAAATTAAATTTTGCTTGTGTGACTAAACTGGTTTTGTATGCTCAGGGAATTTTCAAGACTGGTTTCTGTTTGTGTTTGATTTTAACACCAGCATAGTGCATCCTTTCTATTACTCAGCTTCCCTGTGCACCCTCTTACACATATTTACACTCCCATACCCCAGTGAAGCAACTCTACATTTCTGCCCAAGGAGTGGGTAGAAACTTACGAGTGAAGAAACTCTCTCTCACTTTTCCCCCCAAATGAGGAGATGCACAGTGCCAAGAGTCACTGTATGACTGCCACAGTGAAATGGAACCAAAATTCCAGGCACTGTGGTGGGTGCTCTATATTTTATAATATTTAATTCTTAGAACCTTGTGAAGAAAGTGCCATTTAAATATAAATAAGATGTGGTGCTTCTCTCTAGGAACTTAGGCGAGAAGACTGTCTACAAAGATTTCTAATAACAGGCAAAGTGACTTAAGTGCTAAAAGGAGGTGACGGGAACCCACTGTGGAATCCTAGAGAAGGAGCTACTCATTCCTTACCAGGGGGCTGTAGGAAAGTGTCTTGGTGTAGGTTTTATTAGAACAGATGTCCTACTGGAACAGGCTTCAAGGGATGTGAGAAAGTTCCGGAAGCAATTGAGCAGGAGGTAGAATAACAGGGGATGTGAGCATGTGCTATGGGGTGGGGGTAATACGTGTGTTCAAATGATAACTCTGCCACTAGTCTTGTGGCTTTGAGCAAGTTAATGAAACTATCTAAGCCTCAGTTTTCTCATCTTTAATATGGGACAGTAATACTGACTTCTTACAGTGGAGAGTGGCAAATACAGAGTGGTGCAGCTGAAGGGCAGGGTGGCACAGATTTAGTGGGCCTCATTAAGGGCACATTTTGAAAGTTGGATTATTCCGGATTTGTTCCCAAAGCTGGTGTTGGATATGAGCACAAACCCCGGAAAACCTTAGACAAAGTCTGAACTCAAATCTCTTATATTCTACACTTTTTCTATGATGTGTTGTATGTGAAGAACATTTTGTAAGGGGTGGAATTACCCTGGTGGCTACCAGTTCATATTGCTTTTTGTATGTGTGGAAAAAAGTACAGTTAAAAACATCTGCATATAGGTATAAAGTGAAGGAGGCAAGGCGCCACACTTTCCGTCGCGCATTCGGCCCCCCTCCCTTGCAGGCGACTGCACACGCCCCGCGCTACTGCGCAGCCGCAGAAACCTGGGAGGGTTTTGCGCCTTCTGTTAGCGCCTCAGTCCGTTAACAGTCTGTCTTCCGGTGTGCACAGTCGCGACCCGGATGCAGTGCAGACGCCGAGCCTGAGGCAGTCAGAGCTGGGCTCCCTGCCTCACGATGTCTGAGGAAAAGGGTAAGGGGCCCTCCCCGAAGCTTTCCCAATAGTTTCTGCCTCTCTTCACCCCGCCCGGGGAAAGGCTCTAACAGGTTTTGACCCCAGCCCACCTAGAGGGCTGCACTGGTGACCGTGGGACTGGCTGTTAATTGGCCACAGCGCGTCAGGTGGTGGCCTCTCGGCTGCGGTCCCAGCTTGGTCAGGGCGCGCGTGGGAACCCGGGTGTTGCGGGCAGAGTCTAGCCCTGGGTCCAGGGCGTCCCTGAGGCTCAAGGCATCCCAGGAACTCAGGGTGTACCCGAGGTTCATGGCGTTCCAGAGGCTGAATCTAGTCCTGGGGCTTTTGGGGTCAAGGGTTCATGGTGTCCCAGGGACTGAAAGCTCTGGGACTTTCGAGGTCCCAGGGTTCATAGCTTCCAGGGGCTGGTGGTGATTTGGGGCTTGTGTGGTCCCAGGGTTCATGGCATCCCCGAGGCTTGAGGTAATCTGGGGCTTCTGGGGTCCCCGGGGTTCGTGGCGTCCCTGAGACCTGAGGTGATTTGGGGCTTCAGGGGTCCTGGGATTCATGGTCTCCAGGGGCTTGAGGTAATCTGGGGCTTCTGGGGTCCCCAGGGTTCCTGGTGTCCCTGAGGCTTGAGGCGACTTGGAGCTTCCGGGTCCCAGGGTTCGTGGCATCCCAGGCGCACGAGGGGCTCTGGGGCTTCCGGGATCCCACGGTTCATGGCGTCCCAGGGGCTTGAGAGGATCTTGGGGCTCGAGGTGTCTGCAGAGTTCATGGTGTCCTGAGGGAGGGATCCTGGGGCTTTCAGGTCTCCAGGGTTCATGGCGTCCCTGGGACTTGAGGTGACCCATAGCTGGCTCCGCCCCCGGGGTTCTCGTGGCGCCAGCATGTGGTGAGGCCCGGCCTCGTTTCCTGCATGAGGGCGGTGTTTCCTTACAGGACCTCTAGCGGCCATAGAACAGCCGTCCTCACGCGAGAGGGTGGGCCACCGCGGTTGTTTCCTGCGCCCTCCAGAGGGCGGCGTGCCACGCTTTAGCTGCAGAGCAGTTCTGCGCAGCAGCGGTTTTTCCTTTGAACTTTTTTTCAAGGCCTCATGCGCATGCACCGCAAGCAGCTGCTGAGCACTGCTTGTTGCTCCAGGAAAGCGATTTGGCTTAGCGGCTGGGACACTCTTTGGAGGAGAGGATTTGATTGCTGAAAGAGTGAGTCTGCCTTTGGCAACCTCAAATTGCAGCAGCGCTGCGGGGGGTGGGGTGTGTTTCCCACCGTCTCTCCCAGGATGCCAGAACGTGTGAGCTTTTGAGATTTGGCTACTTATTTTTTAAGTACTTGGTGCTGACTTTCTGGGACAAGTTGATCCATTATCCTTTCTCTTTCCCTGTCGGAGGAGGTAGGGGTCCAGGAAGGACCAAGACTCTCCGACGTTATATAGAATTTGTTTTTTAATGTTAACAACTTTATTTTTATTTCTTTTTGGGTTTGCTTTTCATTGAGATAACATTGGTTTATAAGATTATACGTTTCATGTGTACAACATTATATTTCTACTTCTGTGTACCCTACAGCATGCTCACCACTAAAATTTTATATAGAATTTTGAGTTTAAAGAATTGATAAACTAGCGAGTTGATTCATTATAACATCTTTTGAGATTGAGACGTTGATTTTGAGGCTTAGATCGTAACTGCGTTTGACCAAAGACAGATTGGGCAGCCTCGTTGTTTTATAGTAAATATGCAAATGAGGAGAAAGAAAATAAAGATGTGTGTGTGGAGAACTTCCTGCGCATAGAGCCTGTTCTTTGCTTCAAGAGGGCAGATGCGGGAGTCAGAACACTGCAAAATGTGAGGACCGCTGTAAAGCAGGGGAGTGCTTCGGTGCAAGCAAGCTCCAGGACCCATCCCGCCGGCAGTATGGTTGAGCATGGTAGTTCGGTAGAAAAGATCCTAATTTAGTCTGCTGGGGATCGCTTCCCTCCCTCTTCTACCCGGTTCTCCCCGAATTAGGACTGCTCTGGGGTTTTATGACACGAAGTGGTCAACTGGTTCAATGTTTACAAGTAGAGATTTTACAAGCAACTTTTCTACGCACTGTTTTTATAAAGCAGGGCATGGGCTCGATTCAGTTTCAAGCCTGCCTGCAGCAAGTGCTGGGCAATGGGACACATTTTGGTGGTATTATCCCCCAACGGGCCGACTTTGTAGTCTCTAAAGTTTGACTAGGAGAGTAGAAGGGCTGGTTTTTAGAGTCCTGGGCAGAAGATTTAGAAAGTGATTGTTCAGTGTACTGACACACAGTTTTGCTAAAAACATCGGAATGATCTGGCCATTGTAATCTGCCCTGTTTTGCTGTGTATATTCTTTGCACTAGTTGTCATGTGAAACGCAGGTTTCAGCCCTCACCATTGTGAACTAATGCCTTATCTGGGAAGTTCATGGCAACTTAGTTCCTTGCACCTTGGGACCATAATCTTCAAAAAACTTCTAAATATTATAATGTCTTAAAAACTGCCTCTGAAGGCTATGCATATACCTAAAGGAATTAATTAGAATTTTGCCAATTAACTGAGAAATCTTAGTGCAGTTGTCAGTAGCTTTACTCATACTAGTTTGAAAGATCAGTTGATATACAAAAACTTGTCTTAAAAATAAAATTTCAGTTGCCTTTGTTATTTTCTTTTGATTATAAAGTCTAAGCTTTATTGTAGAGAATCTTAACAAATACAGGGAAGTCTAATGAAGATAATTTTGCCACCCAGAGATAGTGACACAGAGATAACCATTGGTATGTTTCCTTCTGCTCTCAAAGTTAAGATTATGCTGTATTTTTCTGCTTTGAATCTTACCCCCGTTTAAGAAGCAAGCATTTCACAAGCATTTCTAATATTAATAAATGTTCTTTGGGAATATGCTTCTCATTGGCAATATACCATTCCATCATATGAAAATACCATAATTTATTTAACCAGTTTCCTTTTGTTTGGATAACTAGGTAGTTTCTAATGTTCTATTTTTTTCCCATGAAGACTATTAAGTCTTGGTACTTAATAGTTGGGACTCTCCAAACTCAACCCCAAAGTTTTATGGATGAGAAAACAGAGGCAAAAGAGTAGATGTATCTGGCCCAAAGTTAATACCCCTGGATAGCTAGAGAGCCTGAATTGGAGCCTACACCATGTGATTCCTAATTTAGTACCATTTTCACACCACCTTATACTAGCTAGTTACTTTATTCTGATACTTTGGTCTATTGCAAATAAATGTACTGAATCCAAGATATGCAATGTAAATGTGATCTACGAGTTAATACTTCAAGCTTAAACATGTTCTTTTTCAGATCAACTTTAAGAAATAAAAAAACCCATTTAGAGACCATACATTTGGCATATTGTGCTATTTTTCATATTCATTAAAATGGTTTACCAAGTTGATATTTCACATCTAGTTTACCTGTAGTCATCTATTTCACATTTTGTGAGATTCAATTTGAATTTAATTTGTTTGATAACAACATTTACTTTTGTACATTATTTCTGCATTATTTATTATCATAAGGATTGATAATTGATTTTTATTTTTTTATTTTTAAATGTCACCTTTAAAAAATTTATTTATTTATTTATTTTTGGCTACATTGGGTCTTCGTTGCTGCGCGAGGGCTTTCTCTAGTTGCAGCGAGCGGGGGCTACTCTTCCTTGTGGTGTGCAGTCTTCTCATTGCGGTGGCTTCTCTTGTTGTGGAGCATGGATTCTAGGTGTGTGGGCTCCAGTAGTTGTAGCACGTGGGCTCAGCAGTTGTGGCTCTTGGGCTCTAGAGTGCAGGCTCAGTAGTTGTGGCACACGGGCTTAGTTGCTCCGCGGCATGTGGGATATTCCCGGACCAGGGCTCGAACCCGTGTCCCCTTCATTGGCAGGCGGATTCTTAACCACTACACCACCAGGGAAGCACGATATTGATTTTTAAAGAACAAGTTTTGGAATTCATGGTCACCACAAAGTGTAATACCAGTTGTATCCTTTAAAAGTTAAAAGCGTATCATTGAACACATAGTACATGGGCCAGGTGGTCCAGTTTCTTTTCTTCTTTTGAATTTTATTTTATTTATTTTTTTAAACAGCAGGTTCTTATTAGTTATCCATTTGATACATATTAGTGGATATATATGACAATCCCAATCTCCCAATTCATCACACCACCACCCCCCCGTCCCTGGCCACTTTCCCCCCTTGGTGTCCATATGTTTGTTCTGTACATCTGTGTCCCAATTTCTGCCCTGCAAACCGGTTCATCTGTAGGTTCCACATATATGCATTAATATACGTTATTTGTTTTTCTCTTTCTGACTTACTTCACTCTGTATGACAGTCTCTAGATCCATCCACGCCTCTACAAATGACCCAATTTTGTTCCTTTTTAAGGCTGAGTAATATTCCATTGTATATATGTACCACAATTTCTTTATCCATTCATCTGTCGATGGGCATTTAGGTTGCTTCTATGTCCTGGCTATTGTAAATAGTGCTGCAATGAACTTTGCGGTGCATGTGGCTTTTTGAATTATGGTTTTCTCTGGGTATATGCCCAGTAGTGGGATTGCTGGGTCATATGGTAGTTCTAGTTTTAGTTTTTTAAAGAACCTCCATACTGTTCTCCATAGTGGCTGTATCAATTTACACTCTCACCAACAGTGCAAGAGGGTTCCCTTTTCTCCACACCCTCTCCAGCATTTGTTGTTTGTAGATTTTCTGATGCTGCCCATTCTAACTGGTGTGATGTGATACCTCATTGTAGTTTTGATTTGCATTTCTCTAATAATTAGTGATGTTGAGCAGCTTTTCATGTGCTTCTTGGCCATCTGTATGTCTTCTTTGGAGAAATGTCTATTTAGGTCTTCTGCCCATTTTTGGATTGGATTGTTATTTTAATATTGAGCTGCATGAGCTGTTTATATATTTTGGAGATTAATCCTTTGTCCGTTGATTCATTTGCAAATATTTTCTCCCATTCTGAGGGTTATCTTTTCATCTTGTTCGTAGTTTCCTTTGCTTTGCAAAAGCTTTGAAGGTTCATTAGGTCCCATTTGTTAATTTTTGTTTTTATTTCCATTACTCTAGGAGGTGGATCAAAAAAGATCTTGCTGTGATTTATGTCAAAGAGTGTTCTTCCTATGTTTTCCTCTGAGAGTTTTATAGTGTCTGGTCGTACATTTAGGTCTCGAATCCATTTTAAGTTTATTTTTGTATATGGTGTTAGGGAGTGTTCTAATTTCATTCCTTTACATGTAGCTCTCCAGTTTTCCCAGCACCACTTATTGAAGAGACTGTCTTTTCTCCATTGTATATCCTTGCCTCCTTTGTCATAGATTAGTTGACCATAGGTGCGTGGGTTTATCTCTGGGCTTTCTATCCTGTTCCATTGATCTATATTTCTGATTTTGTGCCAGTACCATGTTGTCTTGACTACTGTACCTTTGTAGTATAGTCTGAAGTCAGGCAGTCTGATTCCTGCAGCTCTGTTTTTTTTTCCTTCAAGACCGCTTTGGCTATTCGGGGTCTTTTGTGTCTCCATACAAATTTTAAGATTTTTTGTTCTAGTTCTGTAAAAAATGCCATTGGTAATTTGATAGGTATTGCATTGAATCTGTAGATAGCTTTGGGTACTATAGTCATTTTCACAATATTGATTCTTCCAATCCAAGAACATGGTATATCTCTCCATCTGTTGGTATCATCTTTAATTTCTTTCAGCAGTGTATTATAGTTTTCTGCATACAGGTCTTTTGTCTCCCTAGGTAGGTTTATTCCTTGGTATTTTATTCTTCTTGTTGCAGTGGTAAATGGGAGTGTTTCCTTAATTTCTCTTTCAGATTTTTCATCATTAGCATATAGGAATGCAAGAGATTTCTGTGCATTAATTTTGTATCCTGCAGCTTTACCAAATTCATTGATTAGCTCTAGTAGTTTTCCGGTGGCATCTTTAGGATTCTCTATGTATAGTATCATGTCATCTGCAAACAGTGACAATTTTACTTCTTCTTTTCCAGTTTGTATTCCTTTTATTTATTTTTCTTCTCTGATTGCCATGGCTAGGACTTCCAAAACTATGTTGAATAATAGTTGTGTGAGTGGACATCCTTGTCTTGTTCCTGGTCTTAGAGGAAGTGCTTTCAGTTTTTCACCATTGAGAATGATGTTTGCTGTGGGTTTGTCACATATGACCTTTATTATGTTGAGGTAGGTTCCCTCTATGCTCACTTTCTGGAGGGCTTTTATCATAAATGCGTGTTGAATTTTGTCAAAAGCTTTTTCTGCATCTATTGAGATGATCATATGGTTTTCCTCTTTCAATTTGTTAAAATGGTGTATCACATTGATTGATTTGCACATATTGAAGAATCCTTGCATCCATATAAATCCCACTTGATCATGGTGTATGATCCTTTTAATGTGTTGTTGGATTCTGTTTGCTAGTATTTTGTTGAGGATTTTTGCATCTATATTCATCAGTGATATTGGTCTGTAATTTTCTTTTTTTGTAGTATCTTTGTCTGGTTGTGGTGTCAGGGTGATCCTGGCCTCATAGAATGAGTTTGGGAGTGTTCCTTCCTCTGCAATTTTTTGGAAGAGTTTGAGAAGGATCTGTGTTAGCTCTTCTCTAAATGTTTGATGGAATTCATCTGTGAAGCCCTCTGGTCCTGGACTTTTGTTTGTTGGAACATTTTAAATCACAGTTTCAATTTCATTATTTGTCATTGGTCTGTTCATATTTTCTATTTCTTCCTGGTTCAGTTTTGAAAGGTTATACCTTTCTAAGAATTTGTCCATTTCTTCCAGGTTGTCCATTTTATTGGCATAGAGTTGCTTGTAGTAGTCTCTTAGGATGCTTTGTATTTCTGCGGTGTCTGTTGTAACTTCTCCTTTTTCATTTTTAATTTTATTGATCTGAGTCCTGTTTCTCTTTTTTTTTTTGTTGCGCTACGCGGGCCTCTCACTGTTGTGGCCTCTCCCGTTGCAGAGCACAGCCTCCGGACGCGCAGGCTTAGCGGCCATGGCTCGCGGGCCTAGCCACTCCGTGGCATATGGGATCTTCCTGGACCGGGGCACGAACCCGTGTCCCCTGCATCGGCAGGCAGACTCTCAACCACTGCGCCACCAGGGAAGCCCCCTCTCCCTCTTTTTTTCTTGATGAGTCTGGCTAATGGTTTATCAATTTTGTTTATCTTCTCAAAGAACCAGCTTTTAGTATTATTGATTTTTGCTATTGTCTTCTTTGTTTCTATTTCGTTTATTTCTGCTCTGATTTTTATGCTTTCTTTCCTTCTACTAACTTTGGGTTTTGTTTGTTCTTCTTTCTCTAGTTCCTTTAGATGTAAGGTTCGATTGTTTATTTGAGATGTTTGTTGTTTCTTGAGGTAGGATTGTATTGCTATAAACTTCCCTCTTAGAACTGCTTTTGCTGCATCCCATAGGTTTTGGACTGTCGTGTTTTCATTGTCATTTGTCTCTAGGTGGTTTTTGATTTCCTCTTTGATTTCTTCAGTGATCTCTTCGTTATTTAGTAACATATTGTTTAACCTCCATGTGTTTGTGTTTTTTGCGATTTTTTCCCTGTAATTGATTTCTAATCTCATAGCGTTGTGGTCAGAAAAGATGCTTGATATGATTTCAATTTTCTTAAATTTACTGAGGCTTGATTTGTGACCCACAATATGATCTATCCTAGAGAATGTTCCTTGTGCACTTGTGAAGAAATTGTAATCTGCTGTTTTTGGATGGAATGGCCTATAAATATCAATTAAATCTATCTGGTATTGTGTCACTTAAAGCTTCTGTTTCCTTATTAATTTTCTCTTTGGATGATCTGTCCATTGGTGTCAGTGAGGTGTTAAAGTCCCCCATTATTATTGTGTTACTGTCGATTTCCTCTTTTACAGCTGTTAGCAGTTACCTTATGTATTGAGGTGCTCCTATGTTGGGTGCATATATAGTTTTAATTGTTATATCTTCTTCTTGGATTGATCCCTTGATCATGATGTAGTGTCCTTCCTTGTCTCTTGTAACATTCTTTATTTTAAAGTCAGTTTTATCTGATAGGAGTATTGCTACTCCAGCTTTCTTTTGATTTCCATTTGCATGGAACATCTTTTTCCATCCCCTTCATTTTCAGTCTGTATGTGTCCCTAGGTCTGAAGTGGGTCTCTTGTAGACAGCATATATATGGGTCTTGTTTTTGTATCCATTCAGCAAGCCTGTGTCTTTTGGCTGGAGCATTGAATCCATTCACGTTTAAGGTAATTGTCGATATGTATGTTCCTATTACCATTTTCTTAAGGTTTTGGGTTTGTTTTTGTAGGTCCTTTTCTTCTGTTGTGTTTCCCACTTAGAGAAGTTCCTTTAGCATATGTTGTAGAGCTGTTTTGGTGGTACTGAATTCTCTTAGCTTTTGCTTGTCTGTAAAGCTTTTGATTTCTCCATCGAATCTGAATGAGATCCTTGCTGGGTAGAGTAATCTGGGTTGTAGGTTCTTCCTTTTCATCACTTTAAATACGTCATGCCACTCCCTTCTGGCTTGTAGAGCTTCTGCTGAGAAATCAGCTGTTAACCTTATGGGAGTTCCCTTGTACGTTATTTGTCATTTTTCCCTTGCTACTTTCAATAATTTTTCTTTGTCTTTAATTTTTGCCAATTTGATTACTATGTGTCTCGGTGTGTTTCTCCTTGGGTTTATCCTGTATGGGACTCTCTGCACTTCCTGGACTTGGGTGGCTATTTCCTTTCCCATGTTAGGGAAGTTTTCGACTATAATCTCTTCAAATATTTTCTCGGGTTCTTTCTCTCTCTCTTCTCCTTCTGGGACCCCTCTCATGCGAATGTTGTTGCGTTTAATGTTGTCCCAGAGGACTCTTAGGCTGTCTTCATTTCTTTTCATTCTTTTTTCTTTATTCTGTTCCACAGCAGTAAATTCCACCATTCTGTCTTCCGGGTCAGTTATCCATTCTTCTGCCTCAGTTATTCTGCTATTGATTCCTTGTAGTGTTTTTTTTCATTTCATTTATTGTACTGTTCATCTCTGTTTGTTTGTTCTTTAATTCTTCTAGGTCTTTGTTAAACATTTCTTACATCTTCTCGATCTTTGCCTGCATTCGTTTTCTGCGGTCCTGGATCATCTTCACTATCATTATTCTGAATTCTTTTTCTGGAAGGTTGCCTCTCTCCACTTCATTTAGTTGTTTTTCTGGGGTTTTGTCTTGTTCCTTCATCTGGTACATAGCCCCCTGCCTTTTCATCTTTCTGTGGTCCAGTTCCTTAAAGGAGAAGAAATTTATTGCTATATAGAATTGGAAGTCCTAGAAATAATACTATTTGTGTGTGTGTACATACACATATATCTCAAAGCTTCATACTAAGCAGTTGATTTCTTAGCTAACTTGAAATTAGAGATATGAAAATACTTCATGTAATTTTTTTCAGCTAAAATGTTTTTTAAACACTCTGTAACTTTATAAGGTAGTTTCCTCTAGAAACTTTTAATTTAATGTGGTATCTAATCTACCCTTTCTCTTTGCTTCTTCTTAGCTTATATTACTATAGCTCTTGAAGAGGACAGTGATGCCAATGATGATGCTGATCTTGTGATGGTAGAAGATTCTGATACAGAGGTTACTGAGAACATAGTTTCCAGTGATGAAGTGTTGACTATACAACCAGATTTTGAAGGCGACAATGATACCTCTGAGGAACCATCCCAATTGTCATATGGTAATTTTGTTAAATTTCCTCCTGTGTGAAATTTTGCTCCCTGGTCCTCATTTCCAGTAAATTGCTTAAATATTCCTCTAATTTTTACATTAATTAGTTATTATCAGAGGGCGAAGCTTTGTGTTAATAGCACAGTGTTTACTTGTGCTTTCATTTTCCCTTCATTTAAGCTTTGTCATGTCTCCTTTTCTATTTTTGTTCTACGGGGAGTGGGGAGGTAGCCTTGGAAAGTGTTGGGGAGAATATATTTTGTTTCTGAAAAATTATTTATACCTGGCAACTAAAATTATAACTATTTGGGGGCAAAGCAAAAACTGAACTTATGGGAGAAACATCTTGGGCCAAGAGTCCGTGGAACAGACGAGATGATTGTCTTTGTTGAAGATCTCAAAGAATCAACAAAAAACTCCCAAGCAATTATAGCAAGATTCTCAGGATACAAGGTTAATATGCAAAAGTCAATCCCTTTCCTATATACAAGCAGTAAACAAATGAAACTTGAAATTAAAAACACAGCATCATTTACATTAGCACCCAAAAAAGAGTCCCTGGAAAGTAGAATCCTGCAACCAGAACTCTAGCTACTTGTCCTTTCAGTGGTTGCTTCTCAACCACAATAAGAAGGAAATGGGAGGCCATTCACCTCCTCACTTATACACAGAGCCAAGAGACGTTAACCCCTTGGGAACATTCCTTCAGTAACTATATGACAGTATGCTCTTTGCCATTTGCTTAGAGACTTGAGTTTCCTACCCTTTAAAACATTGAAGTATTGTTGCTTAGATTAGAGGTCAGCAAACTTTTTCTGTAAAGGACCGGATAGTAAATATTTTAGGATTTGCAGTTGTAAGGGGTCTGTTGCAACTACTCAGCTCTGCTGTTGAAATGTGAAAACAACATTATATTAGCAGACGAGTATGGCTGTGTTCCAGTAAAACTTTATGGACACTGAAATTTGAATTTCCTATAATTTTTCCATTTCATGAAATATTCTTTTGTGTTTTTTAAAATTTAAAACGTGAAAAAAAAACCCACCAAAAAATAAAACCATTCTTGGCTCCTGGGCTATACAAAAACAGGCAGCAGGGTGGGTTTGGTCTACAGGCTGTAGTTTGCCAACCCCTGGTCTAAATGATGCCAAAAGTCATTTGATACCACTTGTTATCAGTTCTGGTTTTAAAACTGTATTCCAGACCAACAGGATGCTTTCTTAGTGTATTACAAAACATCTGACTGACTCCTTGATAGTAGGGAAAGAACTAGAGGAGAATTTTCAATTGTGGATGCCCTTTGACATCTCATTTCTACTTCTAGGAATTTATCCCATACAACTACTTGCAGAAGTGCACGACTGTTCAGCAGCGTTCTTTGCAAGAGGGAAACTTTAGAAGTAACTTAAATATCCATGAATTGGGGACTGGTTAAATAAATCATGCATGGCCTATCTGCATGATAGGAAACTGAGAAGCTGTTAAAACTGATTGCAGTATACCTAAAGGTATTAGTTTGGAAAGACTAATACATGTTTAGTGGAAAAAGGAGGTTGCAGAGCAGTACTTATAGTCGGATCCTTTTTATCTATCTAACTGACATAAAAATTCAGAATAGGAGATTTCAGAAAAGGCGGCTAGGTAATTTTTTTATTGTGGTAAAATATATATAACATTATATTTATCATTTTAATCATTTGTAAGTGTTCAAAGTAGCATTTGACAGCCTAATAGCTCTGGCTAAAATTTTCAGTACAATATTGATAGCAGTGGTGAAAACGGGCATCCTTGTCTTGCTCCTAATCTCAGGGGAAAAGCTTTCAGGTCATTCACCATTGAATGTGACGTTAGCTGTGGGTTTTCATAAATACCCTTTATCTAGTTGTGGAATTTTCCCTTTGTTCCTAGTTTTCTGAGAATTTTTTTTTTTTCGGTACGTGGGCCTCTCACTGTTGTGGCCTCTCCCGTTGCGGAGCACAGGCTTCGGACGCACAGGCTCAGCGGCCATGGCTCATGGGCCCAGCCACTCCGCGGCATGTGGGATCTTCCCGGACCGGGGCATGAACCTGTGTCCCGTGCATTGGCAGGCAGACTCCCAACCACTGCGCCACCAGGGAAGCCCTCTGAGAATTTTTATAATGAAATGATGTTGGATTTTGTCAGATTCCTTTTTGGCATCAATTGAGATGATCATGTGTTTTTTTCCCCTTTTATTATATTAATGTGATGTGTTACATTGATTGGTTTTCTTATGTTGAACCACCCTTGCATTCCTGGGATAAATCCCTCTTGGTCATGGTGAATAATCCTTTTTTGTTTTTGTTTTTGTTTTTTTTACATTTTGACTGTGCCACGTGGCATGCGGGATCTTCGTTCCCCAACCAGGGATTGAACCTGCAGCCCCTGCAGTGGAAGCACAGAGTCTTAACCACTGGGCTGCCAGGGAAGTCCCTGAATAATACTTTTAACATGCTGTTGGATTAGACTTGCTAATATTTTTTTGAGGATTTTTACATCTATGTTCATAAGGGATGTTGGTCTTTTTCTTTTCTTGTAATGTCTTTATCTGGCTTTGGTATCACGGTAATTCTTCAGTTTTTTGGAAGAGTTTGAGAAGGATTGGTGTGTTAATTCTTCTTTAAATGTTTGGTAGAATCCAGCAGTGAAGCCCTCTGGTCCAGACCTTTTCTTTACTGGGAGGTTTGTGATGATTGACTCAATCTCTTCACTTGTTATAGGTCTGTTGAGATTTTCTATTTTTTCTTGAGTCAGTTTAGATAAATTTTTAAATTATAAGGACAAATTGTCTTCTCATATACCAGCATCAAGCAATTTAGAAAATATATAGGAAAAAAACCCGATTGATAATGGCTACAAACAAATATTTAAAATTATAAGGAATAAACAAATAAAAATTAGCAGAACCTATATGAAAGGAAAGAAAATACTTTACTGAGGGTCATAAAAAAAGGCTTAAGTGGAGAGACACAAAGTGTTCCTGGATGAGAAAAAATACTTTAGTGTACCTTTAAAAAAAACCTCGGGCAAACCTGTTTAAGGGACAAGTGGTAATTTACCATATCAAATGCACAAAACGTTTAAAAGGACAATTATCGAAATACTATGATACTAGTTTTGAAACAGGGAGCCAGATTTAATGCAATAGGAAGATCATAAACAGAACAAAGAATTTAGAGTTAATATACTACAGTATATTAATATGAGAGACGTATTACATAGTAAATCATGCTGGTACAAATGGTTAACTATTAGGAGTAGGGAAGCCCACTGGGTTTTGCTTCACGTCACAAATAATTTCAAGTTGGATTAGACAGCTGAATATCTAGTAAATGAAAGTATGGAAAACTAGAAGAAAATATAGTTGAATGTTTTTCCTAATCCTAGTGAAAGATTGTGTATAGAAGTAGTTCGAGAAGTCACAAAAATATTAATGAATTTGATGAAATTAAAAATAAAGAACCGCTCCCTCTCTCAAAAGCATCAGACTTCAAAAATCACATCACTACCTGGGAAAAGTATTTGCCGAAAATATACATTTTCCAGAGTTATTATCCTTAAGATAGCAAGACCTCACACAAATCAAACAGGAAACACTGAAACCCCAATAGGGCAATGATCAGAGGACATGAAAAATAACAAGTCACAGAACAGGAAATCTTGATAGATAGCAAACACCTGAAAATATTCAACTGCATTAGTAGCAAGAGAAATGCAAATTAAAATAGGATATAAAAATGGGATAGAAAAACTTTCATCTATCAAATTAGAAATTTTTAAATGATTCATTTTAGTGATAATGGAGAAAAACCATTGTACTTCAGTTTTCTATGAATGTAAATTAGTACAACCTTTTTGGACATTTTGGCAGCACCTATCAGGAGCCCCTGAAATGCTCATAGCCTTTGACCTACTGACTCTTCTATATATACATTATAAAGAACTATTCAGAGATGTACATAAATATTTACATTTGAATGTGTACACATCATTATAGCAAAATAATGAGCAATTGGAAGCCGTATTAATGTCCTACGACAGAAAACAGATAACATAACCTATGGACATACACATGATGGAATATTATGCAGGCATTTAAAATATTTTTAAAATTATAAATGACATACAAAATTGCTCAGAATACATGTACAATATGAGTCAAACTACTATATAAAATATATAGAGGGCTTCCCTGGTGGCACAGTGATTAAGAATCCGCTTGCCAATGCAGAGGACACGAATTTGAGCCCTGGTCCAGGAAGATCCCACATGCTGCGGAGCAACTAAGCCCGTGCACCACAACTACCGAGCCTGTGCTCTAGAGCCCACGAGCCACAACTTCTGAAGCCCGCATGCCTTGAGCCCGTGCTCGGCAACAAGAGAAGCCACCGCAATGAGAAGCCCGTGCACCGCAACGAAGAGCAGCCCCCACTCACCGCAAGTAGAGAAAGCCCGCGTGCAGCAACAAAGACTCAATGCAGCCAAAACAAATAAATAAATAAATTTATAAAAAAAAAACAAAAATTAAATAAAATATATAGATAGTAAGAAAACAAGAAGGAAATATATCTAAGGGTTATGATATTTCTTAGTGATGGATTACTTTATTTAGATTCTGAATTTTTTATAAAAAGCTTAATTTTAGGTTGACTTTTTATAGAAATCTATCACATACAAAAATATGCACAAATCATAAATATGCAGCTTAAATAATTTTCTAATTAATACACACGTATAACCAACACTGAGCCCCCCAGAATCAGCTCTCACCTCCCTTTCAGTCACTACTCTCTTGCAAGGTAGCGCTATCCTGACATCTCCCACTATTGATTATATTTGCCTGTCTTTAGATTGAGCTTTAGCTCAATTGAATTATACACTATTCTTTTAGGTTCCTGAACCCAATTCCAATGTGTGTGTTGGGGCTTCCCACACAACAGCAAGCAATTCTTGGACACCAGCAGCTTGTCTGAGAATTCAACTCAATTCTGACATTATCTATTGTAGATAGTGTCAGATTCCACAGGTTGAGGGCTCAGTCTTACAAGACTGCCCCCTGCAACCCCTCCTCATACCCCAGTCACAAGCCCAGGCTGTCACCTGTGCTTCTGACCTACTTGCTATAAATCAGAGGTTCCCACAACCTCCTGCTTGGGTTCAATTAATTTTCTAGAGCAGCTCACAGAACTCAGAGAAACATTTTACTTACTAGAATAACAGTTTATTATAAAAGGACATAACTCAGGAACAGTATAGAACTAAATATACACACTTTTTTTTTTTTTTGCGGTACGCGGGCCTCTCACTGCTGTGGCCTCTCCCGTTGCGGAGCACAGGCTCCGGACGCGCAAGCCCAGCGGCTATGGCTCACGGGCCCAGCCGCTCCGCGGCATGTGGGATCTTCCCGGACCGGGGCACGAACCCATGTCTCCTGCATCGGCAGGCGGACTCTCAACCACTGTACCACCAGGGAAGCCCAAGAGTCTTTAACTCCTCTGATTTCTTGCTTCTGAGCCTTTGTTCCTTAGTATCTCCACTATAGAATGAAAGGGAAACAGGAAAGGAGGTAAAACTCGAAACCCTTCATTCCGCCTCATTCCTGCCCTGGCTCAGGATGGATAAAGGGAACCTAGCTCTCTCATTAACGCCCCTCCCAGTACTGTGATGCCAGCGTTCAAATCTACTACGAGATATGATATGACAGCATTGCACTCAACGTCTTCCTGGTGGCAGAGATGAATGACTCAGAACCATAACTGAGCCTACATAATTCAAGAAGAGTTTTTGGCTTATTTTTCACATACAGTCCTTTAGGTTTAATTTAAAATTTAACTACGGAAGCAATTATAATCTTAGCACTGAAATGACCTTAGACGTAATCTCACCCAGTTTTCACCGAGCAGGGGAAGAGGCGATGTCTTTAGTGGTCTTTCCAGGCCGCACCGTGGTGGGCGGCCCAAGCCACAAGAGACTCCTGACTCACATTTGGAGGCCCGCAGTCTCCCTGAGTAAAAAGCTTCTCAGCTCCTTGACAAAAGCAGTTAGGACTCATGCTCTGTTGTTCATTTGTCTCCAGCACTTACTCTGTAGCCTTTAGGTTGTGGAGCATCCGCTTCACAATTTGGAAATGTGTTCGATCTGGATTCTTATTCCTACGCGTGGGCAATAAAACCCTTCACTTTTTAAAGGTTTATTCTAAATCACTAATGGAAGAATTCTCATTTTGTCACTCTCTGAACTTCAGCCAGGACTCCAATTCAGCTTGAGTTGGTATTCTGAGAACATATCCATGTTAAGTTTATTCAGGCAGTAAGTGGGTGAAGTAACTTTTTTATGCGTTGCTTTTCAGGAGTTGAAGGTTTAGCAGAGCTAGGTGACCAACCAGTTTCACAAATGAACCGTCTAGCAAATTTAAGAAGACGTGACCCCTACTCAGCGGAAACGGAGTTCATCCCGTTGCGCAAAAAAGCGCGATTATCTATTCCAGGAGAGGATAACATGGATTGTATGGTAAAGTGAAAATCTTTCTGTTTTTCATTCTGCTTTATTTCTTTTTAATAGATTGAGTTTAATTTCATACAGTGAAATGCACAGATCTTTAAGTGTATATAGTTCAATGAGTTTTGACAAATATGTACGCTCACCCCTCATCAAGGTAAGAACATTTCCATCATCCCAGAAATTTCCCTCATGCCTATTCCCAGTAAGTCCCCACCCCCTGAACCTTGGCGAAATACCATTTGGATGTTTTTTTCCATCATAGATTAGTTTTGCCTATTCTAGAACTTTATGTAAATAGAATCATATAGTATGCACTCTTTTGTGTCATGGTCTCTTTTCCTTAGAGTAATGTTTGGAAATTCATCTGGTTGTAGCATTCCCATTTATTGCTAAGTAATATTCTGTTGTATGAATATCCATGATTTGTTTATCCCTTCTCCTTCTGATGGACATTAGGGTTGTTTCCAGTTTTCGGCTATTATGAGTAAAGTGGCTGTGAACATTATTATGGAAGTCTCTTTGTGAACATATATTTACGTTTAATTTGGGTAAATGCTCAGGAGTGGAAATACTGGGTCACAGGGTAGATTAAAGTTTATGAGAAACTGCCAAACAGTTTTCTGAAGTGGTTGTGTTGTTTTACATTTTCATCATTTTCTGCTATGCTTCTAAATCTTTGAAGTTGAATAAAATAGATTATTAAACTATATATAATTAAACTTAACAGAAAATGCATTTATTTACTTACATAAGGATGAAGATAGTAATACCACCTAATCGGTACAGGCAATTCTCTTAACTTCTATCAGCCCCAATATTTTAATCTTTGGGGGGATAATGTTATTTGCCTCCCAAGAGCCATGGTTTCTGACATAATTATGTGAAAGCACTTTGATAAGCATAAAGCATTAATAGAAGGGTAAGATGACCATATTGTTTTTATTATTACTAATCTATATTATGATTCCATATAATTTTTACTGCCTAATAAGTTTGTAATGTGGGCTAATTCAGATAATTTTTTAAAACAAAGACATTGATAACTACTTGGTATATGTCTATTAAAATTATCCTTATAGTCCATAATTCATCCTTAAAATAGTTATTATAATTAAATCAAATGGTTATTTGCTGCCTGTTTATTTATTTATACTCTATTTTATTCCAGAAAAGGATTTAAGGTGTCTTAGAGGTTAATTAAGAAACATAGGTGCTTATGTGCTTCCTATTTTGTCCACAGAGTGTCACTGTTGGATTATTTGAAAATTAAAAGCCATATAACATTTGGTTCTTCGTGGTTAGAAATATTTGCTTTTAAAGCAGTTCTGGTGCCGGATTACTGGAAGACTAGTCTTTCCATCTTGAAGTACGTAAGGGGTTAAGCTTGATGGAAAATGTTATCTTAAGTGTAGTTGACTTAATGAGAAAATAGTTCTGCAAATATCTTTCCATGTTGTTGTAGTATTTGCAGCGGGCAGAGGTCCTTTAGGCCTTTGGTGCTTCCTCTTTTTTAATAATAAATTTATTTATTTATTTTTTGGCTGCGTTGGGCCTTCATTGCTGTGCATGGGCTTTCTTTAGTTGCGGCGAGCGGGGGCTACTCTTCGTGGCGGTGTGCGGGCTTCTCATTGCGGTGACTTCTCTTTGTTGCGGGGCACAGGCTCTAGGCACGTGGGCTTCAGTAGTTGTGGCTCACGGGTTCTAGAGTGCAGGCTCAGTAGTTGTGGCACACGGGCTTAGTTGCTCCGCGGCATGTGGGATCTTCCTGGACCAGGGTTCGAACCCGTGTACCCTGCATTGGCAGGTGGAATCTTAACCATTGCGCCACCAGGGTAGTCCCCCTTTGGTGCTTCTCGAAAGTGAAATTCAAGTCCTAAAACTTTTCTTTCAGTTCCTTCTTTTATATTTCCTTTTGGTTTATTAATAAATCCTTCCTATACAAAAACATGAACACCTCATTGTAAAGAAGGTGGAAGTGTCATTAATGAATGTACATCAGACTGAATATTTAAGTAATATTAATTTATAATTGCCAAATATATTTACATTTACTATCATAAAGACAATGATTAAAATTCTTTTTCAGCCTTCACTGACTATGGAGTACCTCTGAACTGTGAGCCCAAGGAAATATTTCTCTCACATGAGCAGTTTACCATTTTATTTTCCTCTTTTCCTTATCTGATAGAAATTCATAGCAGTTTTGTACCCTGTTTCAGTAGCTTTTCTAATTTTTGAAATACTTTTAGATTTATGGAAGAGTTGCAAATATACTACAAAGAGTTCTTGTGTATACACTTCCCTTCCCTTAATGTTAACTGACCTGTATAATTTAAAGTTAAGGCAATTGTTTAACCACAGTACAGTTTTCAAAACCAGGATATTAACATTGATACCTTACAATAAGCTAAACTGCATCCTTGTTTGAATTTCACTATCCCCCCCACAATGTCCTTTTTCTGTTCCAGGATCCGATCCAGTATCCCAGATGGAAATTAGTTGTGTCTCTTTAGTTTCTTCCAATCTGTGACAACTCCTTATTCTTTCCTTCTCTTTTGTGACCTTGACTTTTTTTTTTTTTTTTTAAGGTACATGGGCCTCTCTCTGTGTGGCCTCTCCCGTTGCGGAGCGCAGGCTCCGGATGCGCAGGCTCCGGACGCGCAGGCTCAGAGGCCATGGCTCACGGGCCTAGCCGTTCCGCGGCATGTGGGATCTTCCCGGACCAGGGCACGAACCCGTGTCCCCTGCATCGGCAGGCGGACTCTCAACCACTGCGCCACCAGGGAAGCCCACCTTGACATTTTTGATGAGTGTACCGATCAGTTATTTTGTAAAATGTCTCTCGATTTTGATATGTCTGATATTTTCTCTTGAATAGATTGAGATTATGCATTTTTGGCGAGAACGCCACACAAACCATGTTGTCTCCTCATTGAGTCGTATCAGGAGTATGAGGTGTCCATATATCTTTTTACTGGTGATGTTAACATCAATCATCTGGTGTCTTCTGGATTTTTTTCACTGTAAAATTACTATTTTCCCTTTGTAATTAATAAATATCTTAGGTAGGAGTGTACTTTGAGACTATGCTAATATCCTGTCCTCAACTTTTTGCCCTGTGTTGAGTTAGCTCATGGATCTCACCTGCAGCATTCAGCACTGTGGTGTTTGCCTAATGGTGACTTTCTATTTCCCTTATTCCTTTGTATTTATTAATTGGAATTGATTTGTAACGAATAACTGTCCTGTCTCCCCCATTTATTTATTCATTCAATTATATATTTTATATCAATATGTACGCGTGGGCATTTATTGTATTATATAAATTATAATCCAATATTATCACTATTTTATTGATCAAATTTTCCAGCTTTGGCTATCAGGAGCTCCTTCCAGTTGCCTCGTGTGACCTTTTGACATGCCCCCACTTCTTTTTTGAGCAATTCCTTTTTTTCTGACATCATAAGGTGTTGTAGTCTCATTTATACTTTCCCTGTTCCAGCTCTGGAATTCACCTCTCTTCAAGTTCTGGTTCCTTTTATTGGAGAGTGGTATTTAGAAACCAAGATCTAGACACTAGGTGTGTTCATTGCTACTCTTGTGTCATTGATTTTAGTCCCTCTTAGTGGACAGAGCTAGCAAATAAGTGTATGTCTACTAATCCAGGCATACACATATATTTATATTTCTATATCTATTTTTATATATATTATAAACTATGTGTTCATACTGATATTCAGGAGCTTCTTTTAAACTTAGGTTCCTATATAGTAACTTCCTTCCTTTAGTCCTTTTTTTAATCAGCTCTTATCTTTTTCATTCTCATGATTGTGAGGTTTGCTTTTACTTTATCTCTGCTTTATATTGTAGACATCTGAAATCCTTTCGGAATGTAGGTAAAAAAGAAAAACAATTAAAATAGGGAAATATATATTTCTAGTGCTTTATTTGGCTCCTAGAGATATTAAGCATTGACTCACTTATCTTCATGATATTAATAGGAGAGCAGTGCATCTGTAGTTTTCTATGATGAAAATCATCGTAACCAACTTACGGAACTCCAGCACTATTGTGAGGTATCAAAGTTGTCTCTTAAATGTAGTTTTCCAAAATATTGAGCTAAAATTTTCTTTACCTCATTTAATGTCATTGGACTATTAATAGAAATTTTGCTATGCCAAGTTCTCTATGATTATCACTCCATTGTGATACATTTAAAAAATATCTACTTAGAACAACATCCCTAGGTGAAAAACTTGAAATAAAAATATGGCTTTTGTACCTTAAAAAATATAGCCCATAACTGGTCAAGTGTAGTTAAGTGTCTTGCATCTAGACTGTTCGATATTGAATTTCTCCAATATTCTCCTTTTTTTTTTGCGGTGCGCGGGCCTCTCACTGTTTTGGCCTCTCCCGTTGCGGAGCACAGGCTCCGGACGCGCAGGCTCAGCGGCCATGGCTCACGGGCCCAGCCGCTCCGCGGCATGTGGGATCTTCCCGGACCGGGGCACGAACCCGCGTCCCCTGCATCGGCAGGCGGACTCTCAACCACTGCGCCACTAGGGAAGCCCAACCCACCATTTTTAAAAGAGTTTATCTTCCACAGTTTTGAGGGGATTTTGTAAAAATTGACGTGTTGGTGGAGATTGATAGAAGTATGTAATTATCAAGGATTTTGTGAGCGGCATACCCTAGAAGCAATGAACATTTATAAACAAATACATGTTTCTTAACATATAAAAAAGTTTCTTGAATACAATGAACATACTTTGAAAAGTAAAAAATGTTTAT